GACTCCTGAATTACGCTGCCGAGGAACCCCACATACTTATATTATGGCTGGAGTGATGATAGCTGAAGTGAAGCATGTAAGAATGATGTTGGTGGCCGTTGCCACCCCCTGCGCACCCCCTATTTTGTCCAGAAAGTGCCACGCCTGCTATGCCCTGGACGACCGTCGTGCATAGCGGCCGCGGTGAGGGACCACCCCCTGCGCACCCCCTATGGTGTCGAGAAGGTGCCACACCTGCTATGCCCTGGACGACCGTCGTGCATAGCGGCCGCGGTGAGGGACCAACCCCTGCGCACCCCCTATGGTGTCGAGAAAGTGCCACACCTGCTATGCCCTGGACGACCGTCTCGAATAGCGGCCGCGCTCGGGGACCACCCCTGCGCACCCCCTATGGAATCGAGAAAGTGCCACGCCTACTATGCCCTGGACGACCGTCTCGGATAGCGGCCGCGCTCAGGGACCACCCCCTGCGCACCCCCTATGGAATCGAGAAAGTGCCACGCCTACTATGCCCTGGACGACCGTCTCGGATAGCGGCCGCGCTCAGGGACCACCCCCTGCGCACCCCCTATGGTGTCGAGAAAGTGCCACGCCTACTATGCCCTGGACGACCGTCTCGGATAGCGGCCGCGCTCAGGGACCACCCCCTGCGCACCCCCTAAGTGTCGAGAAAGTGCCACGCCTGCTATGCCCTGGACGACCGTCTCGGATAGGGGGACCACCCCGTGCGCACCCCCTATGGTATCGAGAAACTGCCACGCCTGCTACGCCTGGACGACCGGCGCGGATAGGGGGACCACCCCGTGCGCACCCCCTATGGTGTCGAGAAACTGCCACGCCTGCTACGGCCTGGACGACCGGCGCGGATAGGAGGACCACCCCCTGCGCACCCACTATGGCGTCGAGAAACTGCCACGCCTGCTACGGCCTGGACGACCGGCGCGGAAAGGGGGCTGCGCACCCCCTATGGTGTCGAGAAAGTGCCACGCCTGCTACGGCCTGGACGACCGGCGCGGATAGGGGGACCACCCCCTGCGCACCCCCTATGGTGTCGAGAAACTGCCACGCCTGCTACGGCCTGGACGACCGGCGCGGATAGGGGGACCACCCCGTGCGCACCCCCTATGGTGTCGAGAAACTGCCACGCTTGCTAAGGCCTGGACGACCGGCGCGGATAGGGGGACCACCCCCCTCGCGCACCCCCTATGGTGTCGAGAAACTGCCACGCCTGCTACGGCCTGGACGACCAGCGCGGATAGGGGGACCACCCCGTGCGCACCCACTATGGCGTCGAGAATCTGCCACGCCTGCTACGGCCTGGACGACCGGCGCGGAAAGGGGGACCACCCCCTGCGCATCCCCTATGGTGTCGAGAAAGTGCCACGCCTGCTACGGCCTGGACGACCCGGCGCGATAGGGGGACCACCCCCTCGCCACCCCCCTGGTGTCGAGAAAACGCCACGCCTGCTACGAGCCTGACTACCGCGCGGATAGGGGGACCACCACCCAGTGCGCACCCCCTATGGTGGTCGAGAAACTGGCCACGCCCTAGCAAGGCCAGACGACCGGCGCGGATAGGGACCATCACCGTTGCGCACCCCCAATGTTGTCGAGAAAAACTGCCACGCCTGCTACGGCCTGGACGACCGGCGCGGATAGGGGGACCACCCCGTGCGCACCCACTACGGCGTCGAGAAACTGCCACGCCTGCTATGGCCTGGACGACCGGCGCGGATAGGGGGACCACCCCCTGCGCACCCCCTATGGTGTCGAGAAAATGCCACGCCTGCTACGGCCTGGACGACCGGCGCGGATAGGGGGACCACCCCCTGCGCACCGCCTATGGTGTCGAGAAACTGCCACGCCTGCTGCGGCCTGGACGACCGGCGCGGATAGGGGGACCACCCCGTGCGCACCCCCTATGGCGTCGAGAAACTGCCACGCCTGCTACGGCCTGGACGACCGGCGCGGATAGGGGGACCACCCCGTGCGCACCCCCTATGGTATCGAGAAAGTGCCACGCCTGCTACGGCCTGGACGACTGGCGCGGATGGGGGGACCACCCCCTGCGCACCCCCTATGGTGTCGAGAAAGTGCCACGCCTGCTACGGCCTGGACGACCGGCGCGGATAGGGGGACCACCCCCTGCGCACCCCCTATGGTGTCGAGAAACTGCCACGCCTGCTGCGGCCTGGACGACCGGCGCGGATAGGGGGACCACCCCCTGCGCACCCCCTATGGTATCGAGAAAGTGCCACGCCTGCTACGGCCTGGACGGCCGAGCTGAGCTGTGCTGTGCTGAGCTGAGCTGATGCTGAGCTGTGCTGAGCAGTGCTGTGCTGTGCTGTGCTGTACTGTGCTGTGCTGTGCTGTGCTGACCTGTGCTGTGCTGTGCTGAGCTGAGCTGAGCTGTGCTGAGCTATGCTGAGCAGTGCTGTGCTGTGCTGTGCTGAGCTGAGCTGAGCTGTGCTGAGCTGAGCTGAGCTGAGCTGTGCTGAGCTATGCTGAGCAGTGCTGTGCTGTGCTGTGCGGGCTCTTTATGCGCGTCGGCCGCACGTGCATGTCGAAGTCCTGTCAAAGCCTTCATCGGCGGCACGTGGATTTCATCATCGTCACCCGCGTGACCAACATCGGCGCCGCCATTGGCCTTGCCGTCGTCATCGCTACTATCATCATCGTTTCTGCCGTTGCCGACGTCACCATGACTCCGCGTCTGCCCGACTCACTGACTCGCTTCAGGTCCGCGCGCCGCTGGGACTTTCCTGCATTCGTGCCGCGTCTGACGATGATTGATTGGATCGCTTCCCTCATTCCGCGGGCCAGTACTGTATCCCTGGTCCGCTTATTGTTTGCTCGTGGCGGCTGGGAAATTGCACGGCGGCGGTAGTTGGTTCTGTCAGTTGGCAGGCGGAGGTAGAGAGAAACGAGGAGGAGGAGGAGGAGGAGGAAGCTTCTCGATGGGTTGTTGGGGCATTCTTGGAGCCAAACAGGGTCGTGGACAAGAGGCTTCTTTGGGAGGCTTCGTGGGGTCTCTTGGGAGGCCTCTCGGGAGTCTCCGAGACGCATTTTGAGCCCCCTTGAAGCCTCTTGGGGGCCGTTGGGGAGCCCCTTGGAGTCTCTTGGGGCCTCTTGGAAGCGTTTCGGGACTTCTTGGGGATTTCTCGTGGCGTCTGGGGG